GCTTGTTTCCCCTTAAATTCTTGGCTTTTTTTGGCTCTTGTTTTGCTGGTCGGTGGCGTCTGTCAATCAAGGGCTGTGGTTCACGGAGCCCGCCATAATCCATGGTGATGGGTTCTCTCTGGCCAAGTGTGGAAAACCCCTCCCGCCGCTCTCTTCTTAATTTCAGCAAAGTTGAACTTCTGTCACAGAAGCCCGTGACTGTTACCTTAAGAAAACAGCTCCTAAAAGTGTCAGAACGACATGGTTTTGGTGTGTAGAAGTCCAATCCAAACCTTATCTGGTGCCTAGAGGTCCTTTATGTAACTGGTATTCCCTTGGGGGCTGCTGCTACATCTTTATCTCTATGATTGTCTCCCCCATTCTGCAAGTTGTGATGAATAAAGGCTTCAAACAACAGAGATGAAGATATAATTACCTTGGGTCTCCTGGGAACCTCAGCACCTTCTAGAATTTCCTTTTGAATTTCATATTCATTTACATGAGCATTATCCATTGAAGCGCACTGTGAACTGTCAGATCTCTGCCTCAGAGACATGCTGCACTGTGGTCCTAGAGCACTCTTTCCCCCTCTCTGAGTCCTCACTTAACCCCTGAACTTGAAAATGGAAAATGTGTTCTTCTCTGTCCCAACCTAAAAGCTTTTCCCTCGGATGTTTGACTGCTGGGTAATAACTTTACATTCATTGTTTTCACCTCCAGGGAGGCCTTTTTGCGTGTCTCTAGGACTCTGGAGGCCCATTTCTCTGCCCCACTTGGCTTCTCTAAGTCATGTTGGCCAGTTGGGTGTTGTGGCTGATTTCTGCCTTTGGTCCAAGGTTTGACTAAGGTCTGGATTTCCAGGTAGCCAGTAGACCTTTTTCTCTCGCTTTCTTTGAGCATCATATCAGCTTCTGGTAGTTGAACTTCTTACTTTTACTTTTTTTTTCTTATTTATCCTTGAGAGTGCTACTACTTATTTATCCTTGAGAGACAGAGTGTGAGTGGGGGAGGGACAGAGAGAGAAAGAGAGGGAGACACAGAATCCAGGCTCCAGGCTCTGAGCTGTCAGCACAGAGCCCGACGTGGGGCTCGAACTCACGAACCGTGAGATCATGACCTGAGCCACAGTTGGACACATAACCAACTAAGCCTCCCAGGCGCCTCTTTACTCTTCTACTTTTAAACTTGGTGCTCTCTTTTGGGCCTGCCCCATATATGCCTGTCTTTTCTGACGGAGTGTCTATAGAGAACCAGAGCTTTCATAAACAAGGGATCATTGTTAGTTTTATGCTGCCAAAGTACCTTATACTTAACAGTAAAAATACAACTGGTGATTTTTACCAAAGCAGGTGAAGGATCTTTCTCTTACATCAATCTGCTATATCCCAACACTAATATCTTTGAAGTCCTATTTTTAGCTTATAATTGAAGTGGTTTTGGTCTTTCTCTCAATTAAAACAATTTTTCTTTAAAAGTATTTATTTATTTTGAGGAGGGGAGGGGCAGAGAGAGGGAGAAAGAGAATCCCAAACAGGCTCCACGCTGTCAGCACGGAACCTGATGCAGGGCTCGAACTCACACACTGTGAGATCATGACCCGAGCTGAAGTCAAGGGTTGGACCCTTAACTGACTGAGCCACCCAGGCACCCTGGGTTTTCTCTCAGTTTTTGGTTTGCCAAGCAAATATTGCTCACCTTCAGTGTTCATGAATTTAAAGTGGAACTTCTTAACTAAACTTGTATTCTAATCTGATTTTAAAATAGCTTTAAATAACCAGATACTACAAATGTCTAATTTAAACACAGGCTAAGGAGAGTCTCCAGGGGTTTGGTTCTATATGGTGGGTGTGTCTCAGTTGGCTTCTCTTTGTACCTAGTCTTTGGAGCTTTGTTTGAGTGTGTGGGCTGGAACCGCGTGATTCCTTTTCCATAGTTTAGGATAAACTAACTTTCCTGGCGAGGTGGCGGAAAGGAGGCGCGTTATTAGTACTCTAGAGGTACAGCTGTTAGCAGGGAACCTCAAGGGACAGTCTGGTCATTTTCACAGCGGAGGAAGCCGAAACATCAAAGAGGAGCAGTGATCCCTCGGAATCAGACTCCATGAGTGAGCAGCACAGTCTCCAGCCCAGCGTTCCTCATTTCTAGCCAGAGCTCGTTCTTTCCAGTTTGACTCCTGCTCTGGGATTCATACAAGCTTTTACTTAACCATAAGGCTGCTACAGTGAGGTCTTCTGCTAGCAGAGCAGTGATCTTAGGGTCCTTCCTGCTTTTCCAGGGGCTTCCTAGAATCTCTAGGGGTTGTTTGCCTTTTATTCATCCTTTTACTCTTCAAAATTTTTCTATTTTTAAACTTCCTTTTTAACCTTTTAAATTTATGTTTATTTTGATTTAAAATTTTTTTACCCCCTTTGTTTTGTATTTCATGCCCTGTGTAGCAGGTCAAGATGACTAAGGGGCAGTGTGTTCGGAAACGTGGTGACAGACTTTCAGTGCTTGCTGTCCTGGGCTTCTGGCTGGTGGTACCAGGAGCCTCAGGAGGGGGAAAACCATTTCTAACTGATTTGATGTGGACAGGGCTGCTCGTGGTAACTCCCACGATTGCTGCTCTTACCGTTTTTCATGTGGTAGTTTAGAATGAAACCAAACGAATACCAAATACAGAGAATTAGCCATCTGTAATTCTCTTGCATTTTTTTCCTGTCCTGTGTTTATAAGGTTAGCCTTAATGTTTTCTTGTCCCGCTTCTCTAGCCATCATTTTGTGTGTGTTTGTGTGAACACTGTTGAGTCCTGAGGAAATACATATAGCCTGTAACCCAGAGGAGACAGGTTAACAATTAGCCTTCGTTTATAAGGTAAAATGATACTTTGATCACTTTAGGCTAAGTAAGAACTTTATCATTGAAAGTTTCTCTGCCTCAATTAGTGCCCTTAGGCTATTGGATTGTAGATGGCTGAACACATTGTCCATGTTCATTGTCACCTCAGAGTCAGAAGAATGTTGTACAGTCTGTCCTTTCTATCTCGAAGACGCAGCTGGATTTTGCTATTGTTTTGGGGGCCATTCAATTATATGGAGAGATGTGTGTTTAAAAACCTGATGAGACAGCCCAGCCATGTGTTAATTTCATGTCTTTTTCATAGCCTTCTTTGTTGCTATTTAACTTTTTCAGAGGAGCTTCTTGATAACTTTGCCCAGCAAATAGGAGCCTGGAGACTCTGCCTGTACTTCCTCTCCAGCACCAGGAATGACTATGTCATGATGTACAGTTTAACGGTGTTTGAGGTGAGTTGTCAGATGCCTTTATACTGTACTGAAAAGTCTTTTGTAATCACGACGCCAGGTCATTGGCACTAGACTTTAGCTTTGAGGTGCAGCTGACAGGGAAACAGCAGTAGCTCAGCTCAGGGACTTCCTCCCACACGCCGCCCCCGTCAAGATGTCTGGCTTCTGGGGCACCTTTCCATCTTCAACCCAGAAAGGTGAGGCAGGGCTGGTTTGGTAACGTGTAACTTTGCCTTCCACGTCATCATTTAAAAGAGAAAGGTAATGAAAGAGAAACAGTTTGGGAGGAGAGGTGATACCCATAATGCTGTTACCCAGCCAGAAACATTTTCATTTATTTTAACTCTTCCAAATTTTGTCTTCCTGTGTATATCTTTTCTTTTTAACCTAATTATAATCATGTTGCTCATGCCTCTTTGTATTCTGCCCCCCCCCCCCCAGTTAGCCTTTATATTATATTCCTATATAAGTGGTTATACCATTATTCACCAAGTGGTCCTCCTGTTGTTGAACATTACAGTTGTTTTCTTCATTTTTTGGTGGCCATCAGAGACAGTGGTGTAATAGAAAGTTTTTGCACGTGCAGCCTTTTGTTTCTGTGAAGTTATTTAGTGGATCTTTTGAGGATGGGATTGTTGTATTATAGGGTTTGAATATTCCTAGTACTCTTATTGCTAAATTGCCCTAAGCCTTTGTTTAAAAGCAGGGTCTTTTGTTTGAGATGATGTAGCTAACCGTTGGATGAAAGCCGGTTATTGTTGTGTACAGATGGTTCACTTAGAAGACGTGTATTTGTTTTTCAGAATCTGATCAATAAAATGTGGCTTGGGGTCCCATCTCAAGATAAGATGGAAATCCGTAGCTGCCTGCCCAAACTCCTTTTGGCTCACCACAAAACCTTACCTTACTTTATCCGGAACAAGCTCTGCAAAGTTATTGTTGATATTGGCCGTCAAGATTGGCCCATGTTCTATCATGACTTTTTTACGAACATTTTACAGGTAAGGATATACCTAAGGAAACTTCATCTCATAAACTGTTTGTAGAAGTGATTATTTCCTTGTCTTGAGGGGGAGTTTTCAGATTAGCATTTTGGAACTGCGGTAGTGAGGTCATCGTAGGACAAATTATCCACTTCGTGTTCTTGAGACATGTACCTTTGTGCTTGTTGAACGGGGACGGGGGCGGGGGGGGGGGGGTGGATAACCCAGTCGCTTTGTTAACCTCATGGGAAATTTTGTTCAGCAAAGATCTGAAAGCCTGTTAGGTCCTGTGCCAGGTGTTGGGGTGCATGACTGAGGCCTTTGACGGTTACGCTTTAGTAAGAAGATAGCTGTGCAGGGGCGCCTGGGTGGCGCAGTCGGTTAAGCGTCCGACTTCAGCCAGGTCACGATCTCGCGGTCCGGGAGTTCGAGCCCCGCGTCGGGCTCTGGGCTGATGGCTCAGAGCCTGGAGCCTGTTTCCGATTCTGTGTCTCCCTCTCTCTCTGCCCCTCGCCCGTTCATGCTCTGTCTCTCTCTGTCCCAAAAATAAATAAACGTTGGAAAAAAAAAAAAAAAAAAGAAGATAGCTGTGCAAACAATCGTCCGACACTGTGGAAGTGTGTGTGGCGTGCAACGGTGGCGTACAGCCTGCAGACCCCAGAAGCTGAGGTGTCCTCAGTGTTGGGTGAGGCGGTGGGGTGCTGGAGTAAGAGACCAGATTGATGGGCTGGGGCCAGGCCGGGAAGGGCCCTGCTCTTTCAGGGGGCTTCAATTTGTAACCTATAGTCCTTCTGTGGGAGCTAATGAAAAGTGTGTAGAAGGGGGGAAGACAGGGCCACATTTTCATGTTGGAGCCACAACTCTGGAACAGTATGGGGTGTGGATCGAAGAGGGGCGAGGCTGGACCCCTGACGCTGCTGTTGGAAAGATAGGAGCTACCGTGAGGACCTGCCGCCGCCCCCCCCCCCCCCCCAGCCTCTCTGGCGGGTGGAGGCGGGGCACTTAGGAGACCCAGTCAGGAGGCTGTGGTTAGTGACTGGGTGGTGGAGGTGAGGCAAGGGCGGGATCTAGAATGCCTTCCCGGTTTCTGGCTCAGATAGCAGATTCTCCAGGCCAGGGGTGAAGGAAGAGGAAATGAGTTGGGGTGGAAGATGGGGAATTCAATTTGGCAGAAAAGGCACTTAATATTTGTGCCCTCCTTCTTTACCTGAGACATTGGGAGCTGTGGATCTGGGGCTCGGGAAGGTGGTCGGGGCGCAGGTCAGGATTTGGAAGTCATCAGGGCAAAAGGTGGGACCCAAAAGCCAAGCAGGAGATGCCGTTGTGCATTTGAATCCTATGCGGAAGTTGGAAACACTTTCATATTATTGAGGTAGTCACGGGTATACAGGAAATGGGCATTAGGTATCGTTTATAGAATAAAATTCTTTGAAAGTTAGTGTCTCGGTGACTGTAGGCTCAGGATTTTCTAACATTCTGTCTACTCTTGTTACAAAGAATTAAACTAATTCTTTCTTAGCAACTAAGAAAAAATAGAGCATCCTTATTGCTTCTCTCAGACTGCCTCAAAGTGATACAGAAATTCTTCATTCAGTATTGTTTTGTGTAGTGACTCCATTTATCTAAAGGTTTATTGGGAGGGGCGCCTGGGTGGCGCAGTCGGTTAAGCGTCCGACTTCAGCCAGGTCGCGATCTTGCGGTCCGTGAGTTCGAGCCCCGCGTCGGGCTCTGGGCTGATGGCTCAGAGCCTGGAGCCTGTTTCCGATTCCGTGTCTCCCTCTCTCTCTGCCCCTCCCCCGTTCATGCTCTGTCTCTCTGTCCCAAAAATAAATAAAAATTGAAAAAAAAAAAAATAAAGGTTTATTGGGTTGATACTGCAAAGGAGATTCATGCATTTACTCAGTAAGTTGTTTGTTGAATACCAGCCGTGCGCTAACTAAACGTGTGGGGAGATGGTAATGAAACAAAACAATGGCTCTGCCTTCTGGAGCTTATAATCTCAAGGAGGAGACATCCGTAAACAATAAACAAATAGACTTATAGGTGCTTCTAAGTGTTATGAAGAAAATTAAATCCAAGGCAAGGAGAAAGAGAGCGTCGAGGGTGTTGTCTAGACGGCGTGATGAGAAGGCTTTTTTTGAGGAGCAGCCATTCGAGTAGAAGCCTGAGTGGAAGTGATGGAGTGAGCCATGTGGGTATCTAGGGGAACAGTGTTGGAGGGAGAGGGAATAGTAGGTGCAAGGACCCTGAAGAATGGCAAGGAGGCCGGCGGGCCCGAAGGGGTAGGACACGAGGGGAGAGGTTTTGCTGGCTCTCTGTGGTATATTTGCCTTCACTCCAAGGTGAGGACAGTTGTGGTCACTCTCCACGGCCTCCCTGGAGGGAGACTGCGTTCCTGGGTCGGTTAGTGGCAGGTCCCGTGAGAAGCAGCAGTGGACTGTGAGCCGGAGGCCCCCGGTCCTGCCGGTAGCAGTCGGGGGAGCCATGTTCCCACCCGGCTGGGATCACTCCTTTCGATGGAGAACAGATTTTCTGTCAGTCCTTGAAATATGATTAATGGTAACAAATGACCGTCTGGAAGAGCGTTTTTTAGGCGAAGTGCTCAGGGAGGTTTAGAAAGGCTAGTTGTTGCCCTCTGTTCTCTACCACTTCCCTCTTTGCACCCCTTCAAAAATGACTCCGTTTACCTCATGCAGCCTTTGTGACTTGGGAACGCCCCATAGTGGAAAGAGCAGCGAAGGGGGCAAGCGGGTGTGGGTCTGCGTCTGTTGTCACAAATCATCTCTGGGTTTCGCCGCTCCTTCGCTTCCGGGAGCCTCCTTTTCCTTCTCTGTAAAACGAGAGGATTGGAGTAAGTGATCTCTCAAATCCTTCCACTTGTAGTAACGCTCTGCTTCTTCTCACTTATCCGTACGAAGCAGTCAGTGGCATGAAAGCCAGGTCAAGAATAATGGTGCTCCGCTGCAGACGTGTCTGGTAGTGATAATAAAGTAAGCTTTTCTTCAGGTAGAGAGCTGCCCAGTTCTGGAACCATCCTCACCATCCTCTGATCCTTTGAATAAGCCATCTCTAAGAGGTTTTTTTCGGGCTCAGTTCCCTCACGGTCCGCTTGCTGTCTGGGGTGCATCGTTGTTTTGTGGTTCTTGTTTTGTTTTTTAACTGACAGTTTGGTGGACCTCTATGCAGTTCATGCCATCGTTGTGGTGACCACCATACCAGGCAGAGAGGAGTTGATTTGGGGCCCCAGCGGGATACTTGGAGTTCTCTGTGCTGGCTTTGCCCTTTCTAGGCCACTGGAAAAGGAAATAGCTGAAGTTGAAACTGACCTCTGTTGCCCCCACTCTGCCCTCCACCTCCCACCCATACACTAGGCCAAATATCACAGCTTTGTAGAGTCTGTTCTTCAGATTCCTGAAATCTCCTGAGCTCAACCTGTGGTCACATTGTGCCTGGCACCAGGTAATTAAGGGGTAAGCAGCATAGGAAAAAAATTACCATTTCTTTTCTGGTTGGGTGGTGTAATAAAAATCATTGAGCCTTTTCAGAAGCTCACACTAAGTGCCTGAACTTGAGGGGGGAAAAAAGGATCTGAACTTGATCTTCAACCTAAAAGTGCTTATTTTCTGTTAAAGTAAATTGCAGAGAATTACCAATGTTACAGGATTAAATTATATATGTGAAGATGGTCGAGAGAAATGCTAGTTTACAAACAAGCTTTTTGGACACAAAGCTGGTGAGAAGAAAAATATTTGATCAGGCTGTTCTTTTTTTTTTTTTTTTTTAATGTTTATTTTTGAGACAGAGAGAGAGAGCATGAACAGGGGAGGGTCAGAGAAAGAGGGAGACACAGAATCCGAAACAGGCTCCAGGCTCTGAGCTGTCAGCACAGAGCCCGACATGGGGCTCGAACCCACGGACCGCGAGATCATGACCTGAGCCGAAGTCAGACGCTTAACCGACTGAGCCACCCGGGCACCCCTGATCAGGCTGTTCTTTCAGGAAAGAATAACTTTCGTTTTCAGTTGGCTTTTTGCCTGTCTCCCCTTTTTCCAAATGATGAGAGAAGGGAGGGCTTTGGATACATTTTCCATAGCGTAGGATTTTTTTTTCCTATGGGAGCACAGAGCATCTCACACCTACAGGAAAAATTTACTGCCAAATTGGAAGAGTCGGTAATACGAAGCATTCCCAGCCAAGAGAGTAAGAATGAGGGCTGTGGGGGAAAATAGACACAGAAAGAGGTAGAGGAGAAAGACGGGAGTGAAAGAGGGGGAAGTAATGGGAATCTTTAAAGTACAGATTGATAACCCACAGGCCTCCGGATGGGAAGAGATGCTTATGAAGGGTCAGTAAAGAAAAGTTGCTTCAGGGATTTCCTGTTCCTCCTGCTGCGTTTTCTTTTACGTTGTTAGAAGTAGCCCAAACTTGGACAAAAAGAAGAGAAAACTTGTGGAGGCTGTATCTGAAGTTTCAGTGTCCAAGATAATTGATTTTTTTTTTTAATTTTTTTTTTTTCAACGTTTATTTATTTTTGGGACAGAGAGAGACAGAGCATGAACGGGGGAGGGGCAGAGAGAGAGGGAGACACAGAATCGGAAACAGGCTCCAGGCTCCGAGCCATCAGCCCAGAGCCCGACGCGGGGCTCGAACTCACGGACCGTGAGATCGTGACCTGGCTGAAGTCGGACGCTTAACCGACTGCGCCACCCAGGCGCCCCCAAGATAATTGATTTAATAAGAGCATTTTCAGCATGCCCTTTATTGCCACTTGTCTTACATCACGCTGCTCCCAACGACAGTTGAATTTATCCTCAGTTCCCTGAATTTCCTGCTCTTTGGGATGGGCTTTGCCTTAGTCTTCAGAGGGGAGAGCTGTTTGCAAGGGAAAGGCAGGTGCCCTGTATTACTTGAAGCGGAGAAGGTGGGTTCTATCCTGTCCGGCTGCAGTTCCTGGTGCCCTCCTCTTCTCTGATTTTTGTGGACTGAATAAATAAACAACTTATTTGTATCAGAGAATGAGTGATTTTTAAAGTTCATTGTGATCAAAGAAGATGGTCAAGTGTTCCTTCAATTGTGTACGTACTCTGGTATAGATTGTAGCATAGAACTGCACAGAATTTTCGTGGCAGCTTGCTTTTACCATTTCTGGAAACTAAAAAGTAAATTGAATTAGTGAGTAACACTGAATTTTTGAGAAATTGACTAGAGAGACATAAATAGTGTTAATGCTGTTGAAGGTGTACCTTTCTTTCTGTCTCTTGCTTAAGGCGACTAGTACAGTGTAGTGGATATTGTAGGTGGTAGAAAAATAACTCAAATCTCTATGTAGGTATTTGCAAAATTATAACAAGGCGACTAGTACAGTGTAGTGGATATTGTAGGTGGTAGAAAAATAACTCAAATCTCTGTGTAGGTATTTGCAAAATTATAACCGTAGCCCTCATTATGCATGTTTCTCTTCTGCCACGTGTTTAATCTTGAACTTGCATGGAGCATGCAAAGCTTAGAAACGTAACATTGATTTAACCCCTGAATGTTGAAAAGATAACACACATTTCCTTGTTGCTAATACACGAATCTGGGCAAAGGGACCAGGGCTTTGTTGGGAATCTGGACATGTAGAAAAATTGTCGTGTTGGGTGTAAAAGAGCATTGTGTTCATGGTTCGAGTTTTGTCTTTAGAATAAAACGAGAACGTACTTTGAATCAGTAAAAAACGTACAGAAATGCACTCTGAAGCACTGATTTACGCGGCCCGTTCCTGTGAAATTAAACGCATGGAGGGACTCACGGGTTTAATGTTTCGTGGTCCTCCTCGTCCGTCCATCGGCTGGGCAGTCTGCTCAGAACTTCGTCTTCCCTGCAGTTGATCCAGTCCCCCGTGACAACCCCCCTCGGGCTGATCATGTTGAAGACGACTTCAGAAGAGCTGGCTTGTCCCCGTGAGGACCTCAGCGTGGCTCGGAAGGAGGAGCTGCGGAAGCTGCTGCTGGACCAGGTGCAGACTGTGCTCGGGCTGCTGACAGGTGAGCCGTTCGGTGGAGGCAAGGGACACTGGCAGTGGTGCTCTGAACTTTTGAGCAGTTTTGCTTGTGACTGTGGCCGAGTTGAAAAACAAAGAATGTGGTGGTGGCGTGTGCCGTCAGCACTGAGCCCCGTGTCCAGCACGTGGTAGGACCTCCCCAGATGCTCATAACCTACTTGTTTTTACTGTCTTTATGAATCGGTCCTCACTGTCACTGTCATTAATGAGGTAGAGATCAGGTCATGGGAATGTGATTGAAATGCCAAGCGCTGCATTCTCAGTAAGGTGGGTGGCGAGCACTTCATGTAAAATAATTTGAATATAAGATCAGGAGAAGTTGGAGGAGGAGGGATGGGGAAATTTCAAAATCCGCTCAGGGAGGTGAGACCAGATGTGGCATCCGCACCCCGTGCGCCTGGTCGTGGTTGTAAGTAGCATTTTGCTCATCATCTTGTCTGTTTTATCAGCCTCGTAACCGTGTGTGAGGAGTAAGAATAAACAGAAAGCAAAAGCAAACCGCACAACGAGACAGGAAGGCGGGACGAGGGTGGAGCATGCTGGCTCGCCAGGGCCCTGCCGCTTGCTTGTACGAGGAGCAGGTGCAGCCCTAGTCTCGGGGCCCTTGAGGCGCCGGGGGCCCGCTTGCTGCTTGAAGGAATGCCGCAAAGCAAAAAAAAAAAAAAAAAAAAGAAAAAAACAGTTTTTATCTGCAGCTCCTCTGCCCAGACTTCCTCTCGGATCTCTAGGAACTTGCTTCTTTTGTCTGTGTTACAAAAGTGCTGGGCATGCAGTGGTCACTTAAAATCGGTTGAGAATGCTTGTCGTTTGCCCCGTGTCCTTCCCCACGTCCCTAGGGGAGACCCACACCTCAGAGCATTTGTTCATTCAGAGCACGTTCAGTGATGCCCCCAACTAGATGTTATATTTCTATAGTTAAGGATCATGTCTGATATCTCTGTGTCCTGCCGTGAAGACGTTAAAATTTTTTCAGTTGGGGTTAATTCACGTAGCGTCAAATCCACCATCTGACGGTGTCGCAACTCGGTTTTTAATACATTCACAAGGTTGTGCAACGATCACGCGATCTAATTCCAGAACACTTTCATTACTGTCCTTTCCCCCTCCAACCCCTGGCAACCACTAATCTGTTCATCTCTATGGATTTTCCTATTTGGCCTTTTTGTTTAAAAAAAAAAAAAATCATACACTATGTGGCCTTCTTAGTGGGATACTTCAAAGCCCATCCATGTTATAATATTAAATGTTTTGAAAACACCGTACTTTCAAAAGCTTTTACAGCTGATCATCTTATGCAGTAGGTTCCATAAAGAGGTCCAGAGAGGAATAAAACACAGTCCCTGTCTCTAATGAGGGGTACTTGAGTTGGGGAGAAAGACAGCTAAAGCCAGTGTGTTAAGAGTTTAGTAGAGGTGTGTTTTACTCACAGGCAGAACCGAGCAGACGAGACTTCCTGGGGACGATGGCGGCTGGGTGGAGCTCTGAGGGATGGACAGGCAGCAGCC